AACAGTAGTTGGTATTGAGCAGTCATACATAATATGTGTGTCTTTAAATACCTATAATTAATATTACAATAATTCATATAATATTATAAAAATAATTAATAAGAGCCTTTTTTGATAATAAACACTATTCATGAAATTAATATTTATACTTACATCATGAACACCTTTTTCATTTGTAGCTAGTTTAAAAATGCATTGCATTCTTAAACGTAAAATATACAATATTATACTATAAAATAGCTAATAAAATATAATTTATAACAAATTTATGCTTAATCATCTAACAAAATAAACRATAATGACGTTTATAATCAATAATTTATATTAAAAAATATAAATATGATAAAAATATTACATTTGGCGGGTTGATTACTGATTGATAAATGGACTTACGATAAGAAAAACATGTGATGTTAGCAGTGTGCCATTCTTATCAGTGCTAGARGTAAAGTATCGTAAAGGGACTTACGTTTGTATACTCCAACACTATTATTTCRTCCTACTATTTTKACCCAGAAGTAAACTATCATGCTGGACTTACGTTTCAATRCTTCTATCATAGTTTAGGACTTAAGTTAGTATACTTCTAGGTAACTTTGCATTTATTGTACATAGGACTTACGTTTTAATACCTTTAAAAATATCATAAAWCGCACATTCTGATTATATAACTAACTCAAAATGTCAAAAAATGGACTTGCGTTAGTTGACTTCTGCGGTACAGATGTACTATGATATGAAAGAATAATATTTTTATTTCATAATATCAATAATGTGTATGCTCGACAACTGTATAATATCAATAGTTAATGACGTAGTGGCCACAGCTGAGCTGATTGGAAACGACTCTGTAAAACAATTCTCGGCTGAGTCTATGTAGTTCCATGTATATTAAATATTAAAATACTCCAATCCTAACATGTAGTGTGGTACGTCATCATTTGTCACAATAACGTGTACTTAAGTATTAAGTAGGTACTTCACGTACCTATTTGTGAATAACGTATTATCAAATGTCAACTGCAACATTGCATATAATATATTGGATTCTTAAAACTTCACTTAATATAGTGAAAATAAAATCATAAATATTATAAAAAAATTATTATGTGAAAAAATATTTTTTACGAATTGCAATTAAACACATTATATAATCATATAGAATATAGGTACCACAATGTACATAATTTTATAAATTATCTAATAGTTATATTTTACTTTTGAATCTATAATGATGGATAATCATGGTCGATAATATTTAGGTAGGTATCCGTATATAAAGCCTTACTGTAGTAAATACTATTGAATGCATAATTGCAGATTATTTGACTAGAAATTACATATGTAAATATTAATAACAATGTGTCATAAATGTTCATAATAACTACATAATATTTGAATTAGTTTTGACTAAATTGTACAATTCAATATATTTCATATTGTACGTCGAATTTTGTCGGGCCTCTTGTGTATCTTTCATTCTATGATAATATGTTTGATTGAAGTTCGATAGCCATGTATTTGGCATGTTCTTGGTGGCTCTTTTTTTCATAAGAATCTTATGATAAGATATAGCCATGTGTTTAGTGTGTATATGAAATGTGTATTCTTATTTCTTAGGCAATTTAATACATCTTCGTCTCTTCGTTTGAGAGATATTGGATTATTTCAAATGTTATCTTTTTTTTTTTTT